AGTGACCCGTCCAACAGGAAATCCTGCCAGTCAGGCAGTATGGCAAAGCCCGAGGGGAGGAGGGCCACATAGTCTGGGTCACCGCCACCTAGGACGATGTTCATGGCGGTGATGTCGACAGAGGCGTATATGACGTACGAACCCGTGGGGTGCACACAGCTCTCCTGGAGTATCAAAATGTTGCTTTGGCTCGATTCGCGCTCTGCATGCGTGCACATAACACATTTTGTTTCCCGAAGTCTTTTATTTATTTATCTTTTCAATTATTTACAGAGAAATTGAGTGTATTGGCCGACACGTTGACACGGAGCAAGGAGACAGGAGTTTCCCGGGTCGCGGCCGTTGGTGATGTGGGCCATTTCTTGAACCAGACCGCCGTCGGAAAGGATGTCCCACTTGGCGATGGAGAATTAGATTACTTTTATCGGTGACCGGGTCACCGATTAAAAACAAAAAAAAAATATAAAGAAAAAAATAAAAAATAAAGAAGAAAAGAAGTGGGTCGTGCAACCTAGGTCACATTGTGACCCAAGGTTGCAACCGGTTGGTGTTTAGAGAGGGACACTTGTCCCATTTTTATTGGTCAAATTTAATTTTTTTTGTTTAAAAAAAATAAAAAATAAATATTAAAATTCATATTTTTTTATTCTCTACAAATAGAGACCACACTTGATATATTTTGGAATACAATTGTATTTTTTAAATAAATTAAAATAAAACAAATATTTAGGTTGAGTTGGGTTGGGGAAAAAGATAAATTTGGTTGTAAGGTTGAGTTGTGTAAGTGGAAGAGAGGGAAATAATTTTTAATTATTAGGTTGAGTTGAGTTGAGTTGTAGATAAAAATAGTCTTAGAAGAAGTTGATTAGATTATTATTCTTACAAGACAATATTCAATATAATTTCTAAACGAAAAAAAAATCTTGAAAATTTGACACACATTATTGATATACTTTAATTCAAATTTAGTTATTAGATATTGAAAATTTGATATGGCATCAAATGTGTTACCTATGTCTAACTGGTTGGTTCCCTTATGGAACCAACACCCAATGATTTTGTTCCATGTGGGATTGTCCCACATGGAGCCCACGTGGGACAGCTCCACATGGAGTTGTCTAATTGAGTGTTGGTTCCATAAGAGAAC